CATAGTGATCGTTTGATATATGGACCTGCAGCGGAGTTTAGGCCCAGACACGGCTAGTGATGTCAGACTTAACGACCGGATTGACTATTTAACTTAGGTTTTGCTTTTTAAGCTAAGCTAGGCTAATTGCCTTGTGACTTCACCTTCGTACTGAACAAACAGACCTTAAAGTAGCATCCTCCGGCTGAGCTAACCGTTAGAAAGCCAACATTATTTCTCCTAAAACAATTTCTTTATTTTACTTTTCAGCCTGATGTGTTATTTGAATGGAAGCTAATTGTATAAGAAACACTTCTTTTATGCTAAGGTTAGCTTTTAAGCTTACAGTCAAACAGAAAGACTAAACATCTGTGTGTCTTCCACTGTTCGCCTCTCATAAACCAACATCTGGAAGTAAAAGGGAGTACTAAACATTTTAAACCCAAAAGAGGAGTGCAGTCAGGCCTGTGCACATTTCCTTCCTACAACGCTCTGCATAATATATCTGACATTTACATGAGCAGTGCAGAACTTACCGCCGCTGAGGCTCTAGGCAGCCTCTGTAAACATCGAGAGCATGCACGCCCCGGACATCACGTTGCATTTGAAAATGTGCAGCGGCCGCACAATAAAGTACCCTTGTCGTTGTCAGTGTACAGTATGTGGCCGTCTGCACATCTGACCCAAGGAGCCCCATCAGACTGACTGAAAGCCCTCTTCGTCTGTCACCATGGTGATCCGCAGGCTAAAACCGAGGAGTCGCTCTTCTAGCAGTTTGAAATTCATCTTCAGTTTGTAGCAGTCAGAAGTCATCTGTGCTTAAATAAGAAGTTAAAATGACACTGAATGTGAGCTTGCATTTTAAATACTGTGGGGTGTGTTTTCACTACATCTAGTCGTTGAAGGTTTACAAAAGATGTCTCTCACATGTGTCTGTAGCCCACAGTGACCTCTTTAAAACACTTACTTTGTCACATTAGCAATTTAAAACCCAGCGGCAATGTGTAGCTCACTAAAGTACACGCAAATACTGTTCCTAAGTACAAAGTTATACTTAATACTTCTACAGCACTTCGTGTCAGAGCGAGATACTGTACTGTTTACACTGGTTCAAGTTTACCATCAGCCTTCATCTGTCAGGCTTCAAAATGGTTGATTGACTAGGCAGTACTTCCATCCTTTCACCTGTGCTCCCAACCTTAATAATTAAATAAAAAAATATTAGACATTATTATTGATTTTTAATGTGAAATTATTATTAGCATATTTATTAGCTTTGTGTTATTAATTCCCTGACATGTCCAAAACAGGCCATGTTGCTTCCCTCAACACTCCTGTTAAGCCAACTTTCTTCCGACTGACTGATTGGCTTTGAACAGGTAGGTGTGATTGCTGCGCTCTCCACAGACGACAGCAGGTTCACACCAAGCACAGAAGTGAAAGAGTCTGGAGATGCCGTGGCGAACGTGATGCCGCCTGCAGCATAACCCAGCATGACTGGGTTGGGGGAAGCCAGTTGAGCTGTATCGTGCTAATCTGAGCATACATCCTATTAAAGGGGACTTCACGCCTCCCTCGTGGAGTCTGTTTGGTCAGAAAGGCTCTGTCAGTGCTCCTCCTGCTCCTGTTTACACAAAGGAGCAGACACTGGTCCTGCTGATGGGTTTGATGCCCTTCTGCGGTCATGTCCAGCTCTCCGCGCCTGACTGTATAGCCTCCATAGCATTAAGACAAAGCGAACCTCCCTGCAGTCATACATATTGATGTGCCGATCGCTTTTGGGGGTTGTCTTGTTTCCTCTGAAAAGCGATTTACAGGTGAAGTGGTTTCAGTGGTTTCTCCTTCCTAACAATAAAGACTGATACCCCTGAACTTTACCTGAGCATGTTCTTTACCCTCGTGATCAAGTTGTAGTTATATTTTTTTGAGCAGTCTATGATCATTGTAACTCTAGCAGTGACTTTTCTGGTCTTGCTCTCTCACAGCTACGTCTACGACCCCTCAGCTCCAGTGGACATGAGGAAGAGCGACTCCACAGGCAGCTCGCTCTACCAGCCCCATCGCCGCCCGGGCGGGGCCCCAAACAGAGACCTATATGGTGAGGCCAAGCAGAAGCATGGCTTTCATAACATGGCTTACAGCAAGTCCAATGAGAGCACACTAAAACTAGAAGTTGACAACAACCATGTCAACCAAAGACTGCACCGTCAGGGGAGTATACCACCGACAGAGGGAGGGCTCTACATCATCCAGCCACAAGGGGTGGGGCAGCAATGGATGACGCAGGAAAAAGGTCTGAGCCAGGTGCCCGTGTACCCCAGCGTAGAGAATTACGAGATCCAGAGGAGCCAAGCGACGAGTAACGGGTGGACCAGCGCCGAGCACCGGCTCAGCAGCCCAGAGCTTTCAGCAGACGAGATAGACGAGGGTGTGGGAGGGACCCCGGAGTACCTGTGTGACACGGGGGACGAGGGCAGCGTCTTGTCAGTGGACATCCAAACCAGCAACACCAGCTTGTCCTCAGGGGGCACGAGGGACGAGCTCACGCTGACAAAGACTCCCGACGTCTCCACGATGGAGAGCGGGATCTCGGTGTCGAAGAGCGAGGACGAGGAGCAGGAGGTGCAGAGCATCACGGACTCGATGGTGGCAGAGGCTCTCGCTGCTCTGGAGGCCGCCACGGCAGGAGAGGACTATGAGTGAAGGGCGAATGCGCTCACCCACCACATAAAAAAACTCTGAGGACTCAAAAGAGCATCAAAACCACGATGAGACGTTGCCACGCTTCTGGAGAATAACGCTCATATCTAAGAACACGGGAATGAATGGAAACTCTGTTTACAACAAAGATATATTTTTGAACCCTTGGATAATTTTTTTTAAGCTGTGGTTATACTGACAGAAGATAATGTGTGCCTTGTGAAGGAGGCTACATTTCCAAAGCTGCAAGTTTTGCATGAAGCCACAACCAAAGAGACGTCAGAGTGCACGCTGAGTTTGACCTGCAGTGCACCCAACACTCCGTACAGTCCCAATAAGCCTGGATGTGCTCGTCCACGCACACACACACAGTTAGCGATACACCACATGTTGCTTTTATCATGTTTGGATCTTAGTGTTTCTTCTGCAAACACAGTCCCTGCCATAGGCTGTACAGGAACCGAGCACGTGGATAAGGAGAGGTCATCATGGTTTTGTTCCTTATATTTTGTTCTGCTGTTATTTATAAAATCGTACTGCTTTCTAAACTTGATCTACTGAATATTCCGTAAATGAAGGATGAGGAGCTGTCTTTTAATCGAGGCTTATTCACTCGCTGATCGTCGCTATTATGCACGTTATGACTGTGTGAAAACATTTCATAAACAAGACCATTTATTCTAGTCAATGTGAATGTAAGATCAGCTACAGTCAAACTGCTGCTGAGTGAACCTCAGAGGGGTCATAGCTTCACCCTCTTAGCTTTTTACTTTTAATTTTTATTCCACTTTAAGGCTTCTCGTCCAGCCTGTGACGTTAGCTCAGCTCGGTGATGACCTAACTGAGGCTGGGCGGCAGTACAGAGTGCTTTTTTAACGCCAGCCTCCCCCGTGGCTGCTCAGTGTTCACCATAGCTCCATAACCAAGTACACGCTTCTGTCTCTATTCACTGAATCTCATACAAATGTAAGCCAAATCCAGCTCTCGAAGGTCTTATAGCTATCTTTATCAGTACTTTGGTTTTGGAACCGCACTCAAGTAATGTTGATTAATCACAAATAATAAATAAGCTGTTCTGATCAGTTGTGTTTTAATTTTATTTTCCCTATTTGCCCCCATTTCAGTCATGGTTTGGCTGCCAAATGATTTCTATTTGTTTGTATTGTAAATTAAAATAAAAGTACTTGAAAAATTGTGTCTAATTTGTGTATCTTGTGGATTTAACGCTACACTTGACAGCTAGTTGAAAGAGGACACAGTCATAAGATTTTATCTTTCCCTCACTGAGTTTTTGGACCTGGAGAGATCTGCGTGTTTGAACGTTTATAGAATTATAAACTAAACGAGTTCAGTACTCGAACTTCTTGTAATCGCTACGTTAACAACAATGTAAAATGGATATTCACAGTATTTAAAGTTTCACAACTTCCTGTTGCAGACATTAAATTTTAAAGAATACAAACAAATAACTGCTACTTTAATGTGCCTGAATTAAAGCCCCGCTTGCACTCAGCGTGCTGGCAGTTTAATAAAGGATAAATATTCCGCTACAGTAGATTCCTGCATGTCAAAGTAAGCCTCTGCTTTCCTGTGGAGGCCTCATCTGTTGGCTGCCCCTCCTTGACCTGCATCTGCAGATCTCTGGACAGAGAAAGAGCCCAACGCTACTGAGATTAGCAGCAAGCAGACTTTTGGACTTTGAGTGAATGAATGTCTGAAAATGACTCTGCTGTGTTCTCCAAAAGTTGATTCTGTTCATCTGGACGTAGCGTTTTCAGTGGGAGAAACGTTTCCTCACTCATCCAAGTGACTTCTTCAGTCTCAGCTGACTGCAGGTTTCCCCCAATCTTATAAACAGTACATTTGCATAATGACTGAAACCAGCCCACTGAAGGAACAAAATCTCATGACCATTGATGTTACGGCCAGGGGAACGTAACAATTGATGATCAACAACTACTGATCAATGGCCATGAGTAAAACAGGAATAAAACGGAGTCAGTCTGACATAGGCACTTGTCAACCGTGCATTTATATAGGAATATAAGTTGTGCTCATCAGTGTCGACTGCCTCAGATTGATTGCAGCATGTTGGTAATCTGGCTGTTTATAAATTATTCTGCAGTTATTTGTAGATCTTCAATGTGATTGCAGACAGGACCCCACAGGTTGCCTCCCACCTCTCGATGGGTGTTCTGGTCTAGCAATCAAAAGCAGTTGCAAAGACGACTGATGCATACTGGACCTGTGAAACTTCTTGTGGTTGTTGTTGTATGCAAAAGAAATTAAACACACCACCGTTTCTGTCCTAGCCACAAGGAAGTTGCCGTCCTATTTTTAGTCTAGTGTGACTGAGGCGTGATCTAACTTTTACATAGAAATCTATGCAAATGTGTGATGAGCACTAGCTTTTTGTCCCCGTGACGATTCGGAGCACTAAAAACAAATTATTTTTATTTAATTCCAGATCCTGACTGTAGTGGAAGGAACTGTAATTTCACTTTTAGGGTCTAGTATTCAAAAGTTGTAAATGAATAGTCCAGTGGCTGTAATTTTAACACGAGTAGCACAGCTCCTGTAAGTAACCCAGCAGGTTTCTAACTATGATGTTAAAAACTGCTCTGCTGGGGACCGACAGTTCAAACAGCTCAGATCTTTCAAAATATTCTCCATCACCTAACGCTCACAAAATAAGACATAAAATCATCCTCACAGAAGCTCTTCTTATGTCAGCAGACGTGCCAGATAACAGCTTGGTTGCCAAAGGGAAAGTGGTCGTTTCCCTAAGGAGGCAGATTTTTGCCAACCTAAGGGCATGGAAAAATACTGCTCCAGTCACTACTCGTGATTTTCCTCCGCACCAATTCTGTTACACAATTAAAACATCCAATAAACTATACCAGTGACGAACAGATGACATGCCGAACACATTTTTAAAGCCGCTTTTCGGCGTTGCCATTCACCACAACATCTAAGCGTTTGTTTATGAATGCCGCTTCGCTCCCGTCTTCATAATAAGTGTGATCACCGTGGGACTCGGGTGTTTAAACCTCGCCATCGCAGCAGTTAGAGCCTCAGCGGGCAGCGTCCAGGGCCTCGGGGCCTCGGCTAATGAACACCTGTGGGTGTTTGCTTGAACCCCACACTAGCTCACGTACACACCTCAGGAACTTCCACAGCAGCCAATAATCCTGATCGACTGGCTGACTGAGAGGCTCTCGGTGTCTTTGTGAGCACAAGAGGTGGAACAGAGCCCCCCAAAATAGCTCTTTCTTTGGTGATTTATCTCCTCCTCTCAGCCGCCGCCTTTCCATCTTCATCCCTCTGCGCTCCTCTTCGTGTTATAGTGCGCTCTTTATTTAAACCTTTGGATTTTTGGCTAGTTCATTGGTTTTACATGAAATGTTCAACTTTTAAATTCATTGGTTTATTAAGATACGCTTGTTTCGAGCAAGTGATGTTGCTAGGTTTTTACCCGCTCACCACGATCCCGTGGGTCTGTCAGACTGTATCTCTCCCTCTCTGACTTTTCACTAAAATCCCTTAGCACGTCCCACTCACCGCTGAGTTTGAGACGTTGCAGGAAAACCACAGAAGACCAGAGGCGGTTTCATGTCACATACGGCGTGCTGCACCACAGCGGGATAGACTACCAGACTCCAATCCACACTGAGGCCTGTGTGCGAATGCATTCACAGTTTAGCCAAAGCTTTGATCCAAAAATGCCTCTGAGGGAGCGAACACAGCCTGTTATGTTTTTATTTTTACTTTTCCCCCCACGGACAACATCATTTGTGCATTGCAGTGGGCGGCTGTTCAGCTACCAGGTGAAATCACAAGCGAAGCACAAATGAGCACAAAAACTCGTTGGCGGGCTGTTTTTTGTGTTGTTGTTGTTTTTAAGAAATCAAAAAGAGCAGTTTTCTTTATGAACTTCTGAACGCACACCCTGCTTCTCAACGTTACGGACAAAGACATTAAAGACAAAAAATGTTCCCGTGCAGCGTGATGACAACAGGATCTGCTTAATCAAACCAGTGACTCATCTTTCCATCAGAGCCGAGCTCGCCTAGTGCGTCACCGCCTCACTTTGATCCTTTCACTCGGTTCAAGGATACACAGAAAGGTAGATTATACACTCTGCACAGGCAGATAAATAACAGCTGAGGCTTTACCTGCACACAAACAGCAGAGCACGAAGTTTGAAAAGAGACACGTGTCGGTGTGAGCAACTTTTATCGGCGAGCGCAACATCAGCACAAGCTACGTGTTATTGTTTGTGCAGAAAGGGAACATGTGAGCTGCTGTCAGCTGAGAAGAGGCATCGACGAGCAGAGGAGGGTAGAAGCCTTTTTCAATTTCATAATATCCCAAAATTTCCAAGTTCACCTACAGTTGAAAATC